CCTGGAATTCGAATGTGTATCCTGGTAATTGTCGTCGTCGTCCTCATCGTCGTCGTCGTCCTCACCAGCCTCATCACCTATGTCATGACCCCCTGCTGATCCACCCTCCAAGCGTGTCATCCTGCTTTCCATCGTTGTTCGCCACTTGCTTGTACTCTGTCTGTAGCCCCTGAACTCACTCATCATGGCGTCCTGTCCACATGTCAAGCGATACATGGAGGCCATCACATGATCGAATGTCCATCCTCCCTCAGGAGCTGTCCATCCCCCCTCAAGTGATGGTGGACCTGGTGGTCGCCGTGTGCGGCTGCGACGTGCAGGAGTGGGATCAACAACATGGACAACATCATCTGAGTCATCATCATCAAGTCCTGCATCAACATCATAAAAAGTAGACATTCAAATGTGGATGGTGCAAAAACATTAACCCTAATGCTACCCTAAATCCAAAAAACATTTACCTGCACCTGCATCCTCCATCTGAGCATCGTGCTGAAGGGGGACCTCTGGTGGTTCAGGTGCCTTCTTCCAGTACCACACACCTGCTGGGCTCTGCATAATCTTGCATTGCTTCAAAAGGCGCTCCCCAAAGATGGCATTCCATCTTGTGGCTGTCTTCATGGTCTCAGTTGCCATAGGAACACCAAATATGTGCAAAATCTTCTGGACCAGGAATGCAAATGGCAATTCAGCCTTTTTTGACTTGGCCGCCTTCCACATCAAGATGCATATGTAGTGCCTCCAGTTCACCTTAATATGGTAAAGGAGGGCCCACAATATCACAAAGTCACCTTCCAGCACCTTCGAATGATTATGAGGGCGCTGGAAAATAATGTGGGTTACCACATAATGAAGTATGCGGGCAGACACGGACAAATTGCTCACAGGATAATGAGCAAATTGTCCGGCCTCTGCATCTGCCCTCCTGGTCTCAGCCACAACAGCCTCCCTATCATAACCACCAAATATATGATGGTTGTCTCCGTCATATAGTGCTGACCCTGTCTCACCGTCGAAGTCAAATCCCAGCAACTCTGTCCACATAGGAGCAGTAAGGATGATATCAATCCCGCATACACGGGAAGTCAGCTCACCATGCACATAGCCCAGGTTCTGGTAGAATGCTCGCACCATGACCTCTGAGTACGGGCACCTCATCTCCGCAAGCACCAGCAAATGCGTTTGCTGAAGAAGTGGGACTATGTCGAACCGCTCCGAATTGAAGAACGCCGAATCCAGTGATTTCGGCTCACAAATTTTTCGGCTCATGAAAAACTTCACAAACCGCTCGTGTGCACCAGCGTCATCCTCAAATAAATATCCGAACGGCAGGTCCGGAGCCTGATGCACAACCTGGGGCTGAGAGGAGGAAGATACATCATGTCGGTGCTTGCTCCTCCCTTTAGTATTCACCGCTCTCTTCTTCGCAGGGCGTCTGTCCTCCATGCAATCACACTGTAAAACAAAATTAAAAAAAAAATTCAATTTCAGAGAATATGGATAAACAGGTTTAGGGTTAGGGTTAGGGTTAGGATTAGGGTTTTTTATTAGCAACAAATCAGAATGCATTTTGAAAACGAAAATTAACAATACGCAAAGCAATAAATTAAAATGCAAACATGATTACATCAAGGTCAGGCCGAATTTTATAATGAATCAGAAATTCAAACGGAAAAAAATAACATATCTTGAAATTTCAATCGGTAGAAGGAACCCATATCGTGCGCCAAGGATGATGACAAAGTCTTGAGATGATCGATCAAACGTGCTCCCAGAATGGACGAAATCGCACTTCAGCAGCTCTCTACCCGAGTACCCTTTGTGGGTTTTCCAAATGGGGGCTGCCGGGGCTTTTAAAAATCCCTATTCGCGAAATCTACCCGGGTACCCCTTTATCTACCCGGGTAAATAATTCAAAAAAATTCCAGGTTGAAGAACAATACCCGGGTACCCCCTACATACCCGGGTATGGTTGATTTTTAAAAAAAATACCTGGGTATGGAGTGGGGTACCCGGGTATGTTTCGTGGTCAACGGTTAAACAGGGGCAGATTGGTGTTATGTTTGTTTGGAGGGTTAATTTTTCGTAATAATTTCTAATCGAGGGCAATTTGGTAAATAATTATTAATAAAGGGCTGCAGTGGTCAAAAAGCCAACATTGTAGTGATAGTACATCTAACGATAAATTATAGTTTTACAAGGCTGTTTGACTAAACTAATTATATAATCACAGCCACAATACATACAGTCATACAAAATAGATAGTAAGAAATCCATAGGCTGCAAAAGTACTTGGCAGCCCCGCAAAACTAATTACATGCCATCAAGGTGCATCCAGTGTCACAAAATATTCCAAATTCTAATGCATCAACGATTAGTCAAATCAGGCCATAAACAAATCAATCAATCACTTCTTAGCTTTTCCTCTTGAGTTCTTGTACTTGCAATAAAATCCCATCAAGAACTACTCGAATGATCTCTGCTTCCTCAACAGAAGCTTCGACGAACAGAAGAATGTCATCAGCAAAAAAGAGGTGGGTTATTGTTCACCGTCTCTTCATCTCTTTCACAAGAACTTCATCATCTCCAACCTCATTGTGTATATTACCCGATTACAACAGTTCCAGCAACTTTCATGCCAGCAACCGTGACTGCTCGTGCCCAATTTAGGGAGATTAGGTTGCTAGGTCGCGCTCAGAAAAAGCAGATGTGTTAGATTACGCTTAGCTTGAGCGTGAGTGGTCATACCAAGAAAATGTATGAGCAGTGTGTTGGTCCCACCCATTTTTGACGTGACTGAGTGTAATAAATCGGTAAATTGATTTAAAACAACAATGTTCGTAATTTTTTTTATTAAAAATGCAATATTTTAATTTTTAGGGTTCATATTTTAAAAACAACAGTCTGGGTCCTCTGCAAATTCTATTTTGGTGCATGATTCAATCTTTCAATCTCTGTCTGTTTTCCATATTTGGTTCTCTAGTATCTTTCCCAAACAAAGCCAGCCGACTTGCATGGCAGTGCTTAGATGAAGAAACGTTCTCCTTCGAGCAACATTACCTTGTGTCTCCTTCTCTAACAATAGGGCTAGTTAGAGAAAAGGAAGATTGGGGATGACAGCTGAATGAGCTTAGGTAGTATTGTAGGTTAATAGAGTATTTTTCTTCTTATTTTTGTTTCTTCTTATTATCATTATAATAATAATTGTTATTATTATAATAATTATAATTATAATATTAATAAAATATTATTATTATCAATGTAATGAACAAAATTTAGGGATTTACACTAATATTGGAAAATTATTTTCTCATGTTGCAGATTGCTTTCTCATGTTATGAGGCATCGAAATCCGTGTTATCTTTTTTTTTATTTTTTTTATTTTTTTAACGAGTGGTGAGACCTACCACTTATTATGTCTATAGCATGAGAGATGTTATCTCATGTGACATGAGAAAAGAGAAACTCATATTCTATTTAGTGTTAATATATAACCAAATATGAATTTTTTTTCATATCATTTTCCGCCAACACGTGAATGCATATCAATCCAAACACAAAAATTGCATATCATATTAGGGGATGGTGTATTGAGAAGTCTTAATTTTTGTGTCAGGATTGATACCAATTTGCAATTGCATGAAAGAAATGCGTGAGGTCGAGCAAGATCATACCTAGAATGTGCACGTCCAATCCATACTATAAAGAATTAATTCAATCCAAAAATTTAAATTGTTGGATAAAATTAATGATTTTATATATCTATAACACACTCTCTCACACTAAAATTCATTAGGCTTGAAAGATAGATGAAACATAAAACCCAGCTTACATATGTTAAAAATTTCACGAGACTTAATTATTTAGTAATTAAATAGGGACGGTAATGATTGAACTCGTGCTACCAAAACTCTAATACCATATAAAAAACTAATTCAACGCAAAAGCTTAAACTGTTAGATAAAACTACATTAATAATTTTATATATCTAATACATACAACCCCGTGCATGCTTTGAAAAATATATGTATTGACCAATATACAGCCTTGTAGGTGTCAAAGCATCAAATATGACTAAGCAGTGTTTTAAAACTCGGACCGGTCATCGAATCGATCGACGTACTGGATCACTGGCTCAACCGGGTTTAACCGAATTTACTATTCACATATTAAAAGTATAAAAATATTACTTATATTAATAAAAACTCACATAAGAAAACTATCAATGAGCTTCAAAAAATAAATTGATTTCCAATGATAGCAAATATTATATACTTATAAGCTTCTAGCTCTAGACTATATCCTAATATTGGATTAAAATTGCAATATAAGTTAAATACACCTTTTGTGCTTGACATGATACGGATAAATTAAATCATGATAACAAATAGTATGCATGAAATATACACTAAGAAAAGAGTGTCACCGTTATCATGATAACAAATAGTATGCATGAAATATACACTAAAAAAAAGTGTCCACCGTTGAGATGAGATCATGAGACCATCAGTGTTTATCACCACTTAACTTCATGAGATCATTATAAGATGCAACTAAATTACATAAACAAACTGCATTAATCTAAAATACCTTATTATTTTCACCTTACTTTTAATCATATTCATCATAAAATATGAATATGATTTAATTCAAGAGTTCTTATCAACAAAAAACAAAATTTACTAAAAAAAAAAAAGGAATAACCGGTCTAAGCCAGGTCAACCGGGTTTCGGCCGGGTCAACCGGTCCAATCTGGGTTGACTGCAGAAGCGATCCAACTACCTGCTCTGATCGAGGAACCCACCGGGTCACTGAGTCCCGGGTCGACCCGGCCGGTTCGAGCCGAGTTTTAAAACACTGTGAGTAAGCATTACCGTAAAGTAGGAATTTTTGCAAACGTCTAATCATTGCTCAACGTTTGAAGCAATATACTCCATTTTGAAAAAACACAAAACCAGATGAGTATAGAACCAAGTAGTAAGTATTAACAGGATGCCAAGGAAGGGTGGAAAGGGAAAGACAACCAATTCATAATATAACAACAACACAACTATCATTACAAAGCATAATGTAATCAGGAAAGACCATAAAATACAAGCACAATGGATCCTCTCACAATATTAAGAATTTTTTTTTTTTTTATCACAGAATCCTTTCTTGGTAGATGTGAAATGTTTTTTCTTCCACATATTCCAAACCTACTGAACAACCTAGGCTATTATAATATCTAAATTGATCCAAGAAGCCAGTTTCCATTGTCTTCCAGCATCTTACATTGCATAAACTATTTCTCCACTGCTATCAATATCAAGTTCAGGATCTGACTCTAGGTCCTCATCCATGTCATCATCAATATCCAAACTACCAGTAAGATACTGATTGAGAGATTGAGTTCCAGCTGCAGGAATTGTAGCCTCACTTATTATCTGCATGATTTCTTCACTGCTCTGCATTGGTTGATCAGGCTCCTCAAACTGGTTGTTCATTGTATTCTCAACCATGAGATCAGCTGGAAGATTCTTCAAAAACCACTCGTGGTTTCTAATCTCAGGGATAGTTATTCTCTGTTTTAAAACAATGTCAGGAAAATTTATAGGCTTATCTATCATAGGACTCAATTATATAAATAAAGCACATAATAATAATAATAATAATAATAATAATAACTGACCTGTGCAGGGTCTGCAACAAAGATCCTTGAGATCAGATGACGGCATTCGGGAGATATATGAACATAATCAGGAATTGAGTACTGGACTTTCAAAATCCTCTGCATGAAAAATACAACAGTTTAAGAAAAGTGATTCTATATTGTTACAGTATTGACCTAAAAAAAAGGTGCAATAGGTTACATGAATTGTCTTCCGGAAATTTTTAGGTTCCTCGGGATCCTCGAAAGGATATGCACCCACCAACATGACATACAAGGTCACCCCACAAGACCACACATCTGCAATCTGAGTCATAGATGAGTGACAACATCAGTAGAGAGTATTTGTAAACAAGAAAATAGCTAGCTAGTCTGAAAGCAGTGCAACTGCATTAACATCTAATATTTAAAGTTTCATGTATAGGAGATCAAGCATAGTTTTTCAACCCATAAATGAAAAATCATACACATTTCAAGCCCATTACTCCCACATTTATTAATTTTTTTCTCATCAAGTTCCCACTCCACTCAAAGCACACACACAAAAGGGAAAGGCAAGGAGAGAACCGTTCACACTGGGGAACCGTGAAACATTGCAATGAGTCTTAAATTGAAAAAGATTTTCCATTTTCCACTCTTGGGTTTCTTCTTTTGATTGGGAGAAAGAGGAGCATAAAATATTCTGGTTAGGGTGAGAAGTATTAAATTGACCATTCTAGTAGGTTTTTCTCCAGTGGATACCTAACCTTATCAACACCAGTGGTCAACCAAAGTCAAATTATATGAAACAAGTGGGATGAGGCTAAACAAGCAACAATCCAACTAAATCCCTGGTCATTGCAGAACATTTCCTTAAGTTTTTCCCAGGATAGACCTAAAACTTTCAGTTGATGGTCTCTTTCCTGATATTAAGTTGGTAGATTCTACAGGGCATGGAACCAATTAACAGGTTTGTGGTCACAAATGTCAACTTGCAAACTGAAAATTATAAGGAAAACAGCAAAGGTTTATATAAGATAGCATAAACAAAGTATGTAAGAACACAGAAGTTAAGTAAAGAATATCTGAATTGAAAATTCTCAGAATTTCACTAATTGAAAGAATTTTCTTCAGGGGATAAAAGTTACAAAATACCTTCCCATCATATTCCTTCTTAAGCAAAACTTCAGGAGCAATGTATGCAGGGGTACCGACTGTAGATTTTGGTTGCGAATGTAGCACTGAGGACTGCAAAAGTAAGACAGTCAAGATTCGAGTCAAGATCTTTAAAAAAAAAAAAGACAAAATACTTTAAGCTGGTAAAAGAAGTATGAAGAAAAAAGCATACCTTCGAATACCCAAAATCACAAATCTTTAAACGAGGAGCTGGACTACCATCCAGCAATGTGTTCTCCAACTTCAAGTCACGATGGCATACTTGCTTTTATTTTAGAAGACAAATAGAGTTATTCAAGTCAGACATCTCGCTATATCTTTTGGGCAGCAAATGCACTATTGTAAAAAAGTAAAGACAAAATGTGCTGAACATATTTACCATGGCATGACAGTAGCTAACCCCTGATATAAGTTGTTGAAAGAAGAAGCGTGCCTGCAGCACACACAACATAATGTGCATTAAAGGTAAACACAACAGCACTACAACAAAAATTAACGAATTCAATATATAAGAACCTCATCCTCGCTAAACCGTCCTGCATTGCATATTCGCTCAAATAGCTCTCCTCCGGAAGCATATTCCATGACAATAGCCAAATGGGTAGGGGTCAATATAACCTATACTCACAGTGCGTGAGAACTAATTAAAATACATCTCGGGTAGGAAGAAATTGGATAAGACATTGGATGTGTACAGAGTACAGACCTCCTTGAACCTCACAATATTGGGGTGCCTCAGTGATTTATGATTTATAATTTCCCTTCGTACATTTTCATCTATCTGTTAAGAAATAAGCATGGTTCAGCTCAATATCAAGCAGAGAAAACCGTATGCATTCAATTCCTTCCAAAATTCATTCAACTCTATCCCACATCTTAGCATGTAAAATTCAATGTAACCATGTTGGGGGAGGTAAAGCAGCTATGCCCTTAGTTATCAAGTCTCATTTACTACTGAGAAGTTCTGTCATCAAGCTTACTGTAGCAATTTTACTTTCAATTTAACCACCACAACCAACGTTTAGAATTTCACATTAACGAGGCCACAGAATTTCAAGAAAAAAAAAAATACTTTAATCATTATGTTTACGAGTAATCAAAAAGTGTTCTTAACATTTCTCGTTGTGTCCTGTAATTCACATAAGAGTCACCTCATTAAGGCGTTCATTAATGCTTAAGATTCAACCTACCATGAAGCTCAATTTATAGGTACAAAGCAAAAACTCGGTTCACATTTAAATAAGCACCCAATATTCCCCCCAAAGGATTCAAATTCCATTCAAAAACAAGAATATCATAAATCAGTATATACGGTGAGAGAAGGCAACACATACATATATATCTTAATTCTTAAAAGACTGAAACTGAGATGTATACCCCCATTAATCATCAACACCTCTTTTGTACTATCCAACTCAAAACTAAAACATCAAATTCCATAAAAGGCAATTAATTACAAAGAAACCACTCAATCAACACTTACTAAAAAAATTAAAATCTTTGACATGAAAGAATGAAAACCAATAATTCAGTTGCCAAATTTCCACCCACATACACATATACCAAAACTTTGCAAGCACCAACAAAACATTAAAAAAAAAAAAGAAGCAGAAGAGACAAATTAGGCTCAAACCTTATCACCTCTCTCAATATACTTAACAGCAACAAGCTCCTCAGTGTGCTTGTCCCTCATGAGCCTGGCAACCCCAAAATTCCCAGACCCAATATCACGAACGAGCTCATACCTGTCACTGTCATGCATGATCGGCATATCCATTCCTGGCCCAGCAGTGATCGCAGAACGATCCATTTCCACACTTCAAAATCTCACCTTTTTTTATTATGCAACAGAAAAGCTCAACTCTTCACATTGAAACATTCAAAACCCAGATCAGATCTTTCAAAAAGAGAACGTGGGTCGGCGTGAACCACTGGGTTCAGATGATTGGTGGTGTTGGTGGGTGAAGAAAGAGACTTGAACCCCGTGAAGGTTTCACCCACCCAATCAAATTAGCACTTGGGGGATTTTTTTTTTTAATTTTTTTTTTTCAGAACTTGCAGTGGTTGTTGAAGTTAGAAGTTGAAGTTGAAGTTGCAGGTTCAGAAGGTCGGTGATACGCTCGTGAACCCTCTTTCTCTTTTCTTTCTCTCTCTCTGTGTGTGCGTAAATGGTGCTGTGTTGTCTTTCTTGCTCCAAAGTTTATCTTTTTGATTTTATCCAAAACCTGAGAATCTGAAATATACGTAAGGGTGCCTTTATTTTTATATAATGTTTTTCATATAGGGCAATGCTAATGACCAGTTATATTTGTCTCTGAATCAGTGAAAAGTGTGATCCATAAACACAAAAAATAGATTACTACGCCTTTTTCTAAAGGAAAGATAAGAAAATCAATGATGTTTGAAAATAAATTTATTTTATATATATAAAGAGATTTGTATTCATAATTTAACATGACCACAAAGAGTTTTCTACACATTGTGGGGTCTGCATGTTTGAAAAAAAAATTACGGCACGCAAAACGAATTTTTATAACATAACACAATTACTTTTCCTACAACATAACTCTTATAAAACCTATAAAAAAATAGGTAAGATTCATTAAAAAATAAAAAGCTATTAAATTTGGCTTAATAATCAAGAATTTGAGTAAGTTGTATTAAGTTCTATATTTAATCCTTAATTGTAGATAACAAAAATGGATTCCATCAACTTTTGAATGTGATCATAAAACAATTTATGATAAACTATATTCACTAAATTTATTACCCTATATGCTCGGACTCTTTTTTTTTTTCTTTATTGAGTTTGGTAATAGGAGGCATCACAATTCACAACAATTTATCGATTTATATGAATTTAATTTAATACATTTCGGTGTAAAAATACTTATATTTAGTGAATATTATACATGGTTCAATAAATTTAGTATTTCAGAAAGAAGTACTAATATAAAATTAAATAGTAGTATAAAAATCACATATACAATGCATAAAATTACACTCTCTTATTACTATAAAATTTAATAATGTTGTATCATCTTAATATTTTTTTAATTACTAATAAATAATAATTTAGCTAAATATTCCCATTAAATTTGTTTAAAACCCCATTTGAATAATCATAATTATTTATATAAGTATTTAATTTCTTAAAAATTCAAAAACTAATATTTGTTTATTTAAACAGTAAGGTTATCAGAATATAAAACCATTCACCTCTTATACATTCTTATGCAAGTCATTAAAAGGTATTTTTGAATAAATCTTAATCCTTCTAAAATTCTTAAATACCTTTTGTGTTTCTAAGATGTTAAATATATATTTAATACTTTCTTTCCAAAGTATTAAGAGAATTGCTAGGATAATGTGTTATGAAAATGTATAAGTACTTTTTATGGAAGATAAAATGGGAGTTTTAATTTTTCACAAGTTTGTTTCTACTAACGTGGCCAGTTTTTGTATTGTGGGTGATTTTTGGTACCAGTGAGATAAAGGAAAAGAAGAGGGGAGGAGAAATAAAGAATGAAAAAAATATATATATGAATGAATTGACCTATTTACTGAATTTAGGCTTAACAACAAGAACATCACGACAACTTTTTTCAAAAAAAGGAAAATAAGATAAAAAGAAGCAGATATCCTTTTAAGTCATCTAAAATATAAGTATAATGACAATAGTTTTCAAACTAATTTTAACATTAATTTACGTTTTTAATGATGAAAAACAATATTCTACAGACTGTGAAATCAAACAATTAAATTAGTATTATTTTTTATAATTTGAAGAATATAGTATAATTTATTTTGCATGATTGAGAGATTATATTAATATTATTATTCGTAATTAAGAGATTAAAAATTATCTTAAGAAATTGAATTCTTATCACATTATATCATTGAATATTTAAATTAATATAATTTTTACAACAATAAAATATGTCACATATTTTTAAAAGCTAAAATAAGTGTTTAATAAAAGGCAAAAAAAAAAGAAAAAAGAAAACGGCAAAGAAGGGCAAATGCAGTGGATTGGCTGAACATGGAGACATGCATTGCGGCGAAAGGGGATGATGACAAGGACAAGTTGCTGCGGAATCAAGCATCGCACATTCGCACCAACTTGCAAATAATAATAATATAAATTTATTTTTATAACAGAAATTTAATATTAATTTATTTTTTAATCATAAAAAAATTATATCAATGTAGTCACTTAATCAAATATCCTATTGACAATGTCTATACTTAAGGATAATTTTTATATTACAATCTATGATTAACGTCGGTTATTTTTTAAAGAGATTAAAATAACTGTTTTTAATTGTTGGGCCATAAACTCCCAAAAATTTAAGATTATTTAAAGAAAAATTACTTTATCATTTTATATTTTTATTTTAACATTAATTTTAAGGGAAAAAAATTTTCGATGTTACTTTAGATAACTTTATCTAATATTCATCGAAACGACGTCGTTTTGGAGTTATTAAAAAATTAGAGTGATAAAGACTATTATAACCCTGAAATAAATTAAAATTACAAAAATGTCATGATTTCCGTCTCAAAACGACGTCGTTTTGATAAACATTAGATAAAGTTATCTAAAGTAACATCGGAAAAAACAAACCCTAATTTTAATTCCCAAACATTTTTTATTTGGCAAGTTTTACCACTAGATCCCAAGTTAGAGTCAAAAGGAGGAGGATCCGTAATTCAGCCATAAGTAAAAAATCATACATATTTTCGCGTTACATAAACAAGTAGAGATATAACTAGACTAGGTTAAATTAGGCTTGACTTAAATAGATTAAATTTGTGTAAAAATATATTGGGTCTGTCTTAGCCTGTTAACTTGTGTAGGCCTAAAATTACAAGTCTGACATGATTTATATTTATAAAATAAAAGTCTTGACCTAGAGCTGGTAGTTTGTTTATGTCTATTAAACATTCAACAATTAAAAAAATAATTAAAATAATATTACTTTATTATTTAAAATTATTAAAATAATAATTTTATTTATTTTATTTAAAATAAATAATATGGTATAGGCTGACCTGAAGGCTTATAGTCCCGACATATACAAAAAAGCTCATAACCTATTTTCTAAATAGATTTTTTTAAAAGTCTAAGCATGTTCTATTTTACTATTTGTAATAGGTCAAGTCTGGCATAATATAGGCGAGATCATAGGCCTCTATAGGTCGACCTAACTTATTTATACCCCTAATGACGAGTGATGGGCAGCAAAAAAAAATTTAAAAGCCATAAATAATATATGGGATTAATATTTTTTATGTTATAGAAGATTAAATTATATGTTACACATATATAAAAGTGTGTGAATTTCATATGGGGTCATGTGAAGAGGAGGGATAAAAATAAATAGGCCCTACACACTTTTATGTGTGTGTAGAAAATAAAATTATCTCCTACAACATCATAAACATGAAACTCTTAATATATTTATATAAGGAAGACACGCATTCCAAAAATTATAAAATGGATGATAATTTTAATAGAATTGTAGAATATGCATGAGTGGGTTTAGCTGATAGTGGCTGACAAGGGAACACGTTGAAATGGTCGAGACTTCATGTTTAAGTAAACTGAAATGGATACATAAAAAAGAAAATAAGGATATATGTAACAAAATAAGAACAACTAGGCAACATGGTTTTTGCTTAATTCCAAAAATAGTTGTTGCCCCAGTTTCTTGTTTGACTAAAACTCCAATGAACTACCCACCCATTACAATATTTCCTTTTACATTGCATATAAAGGTCAGAAACAGCAAGAAAACTCCAACGTTGTTTACCTTCCCACTTCGTTTCTCCTTGTCTCTTCCATTTTAAACATCATAGGATATGAAAAACGAAAGGCTGGCACCTGGAAAATTGTAATAAATTCAATTCCTCTTACTTTGTTTATACTGATCAAACATAAAGTCTATCATTTTAAATTAATCTGTATGTTTTGATCTTGAACATGTATGTGTATTCTATTAGCTGATTGTTTTGATTGAGATATTCAATAAGATTAAGAGAAAAGAAAATTAAAGATTAAGATTATGATTATTTTTATAAACTCTTTATAGGAAATGTTATATATTTAAGTTTTAAAATCATTATAATGATTGAAACTACACTGAATGAGAGTATGATACATAGATTTATTTTATCACGGGGTGAAGTATGTTAATTTGACGAAGACAAGAGATGCAATGGTATGGACAAGAGCTATGTGGAGTTACTGTAGTAGCCTCAAACTAGCTGAGGATGAAATGAGGGAGGTGAATTGGGCTACGATTATGGCTGAGGTGAGATTTCAGCAGAATAAACAACAAAGAAGAGCAAATGGAGAAAATGAATAATGAGGACCTAAGATCCATTTAAATAAGACGTTGGAGATTCTCTCTAAGTACGCAAAGTATAATGCTATCGTTTTCAGCCTGTGGGCTCCACTATATGTGAGGTTGTGTGATCTTTGATTTGTAATATAGGTCATGCATGTGTAGAGATTGTAAGTGGAGTATATAAAGGAGTCACACACTTCACATGTTAGGTGGTGGTGATCTTGTCTGGTAGTCATTTGGGTTCTTTGGGCAAGGCCATTAGACTAGAACAAAGCAGAGATTAAAAATTGGGACTTTTCCATTATAATGTAACTTTTTCTATAACAAGAAAGTTATAATTCTATTTCATCTTACAATAATACATACAACCGAACATTACAAAGTGCTTAACTTACCTTAATCGCATATATAATGTGAAGTTCAATTTATAGAAGTTTTCAACACTTACATTTGACTTTATTTACTGTATGTATTCACAACACATTTTAAGAGATCATTTATACCAAAAGAAAATTATCTTTTCAATATATTTGGGATTGGCCAATTCAATTTCAAACTAACTCAACCCGAAAATATATTAGCAGGCCCAGATAAATAACCAAGCCCAATGGTCTCCACGTTGGGCTTAGGCCCAATAAACAACGATGGCTTCCACCTTCAATGATGATGATGATGAAACGTAATCAATAATCACAAACTCAGAGCACAGAGAGAAAGAGCCATAGAACATGGTGGTAAGTGTGCGAGTGAGAGGTCAAGAACTTATTCCAATTCCGGTTAGTAATAACTCTTATCCAAACCCTAACCCTTTCTTCTTCTTCGTCTCCATGCGCTCTACATTCACACTCTTTCGCTCTCTCACGCTTTCCCACTCTCTCCCCAGTCTCAACCGTCTCACGCTCTCTTCTCCCGTCCTCACGCGCCACCGCCAGTTCCCACGCCTTTCCGTCAGCGTCGAGCCGCAGCAGGCGGTTCGCGACTCCTCGGAAGAAGAAGAGCTGCCGGAAAATGAGGATTTTCACTTCGACAGGTTTTCTTCGGCGGCGGCGACGGCGGACTTGAAGAAGCTGCCGAGTCCGGAGGTGGAAGTGAAGGAGTTGAGCGAGTTGCCGGAGCAGTGGCGGAGGGCGAGGGTGGCGTGGCTGTGCAAGGAGCTGCCGGCGCATAAGGCGGGGACTCTGGTGAGGATATTGAATGCGCAGAAGAAGTGGATGAGGCAAGAAGACGCCACCTATGTCATCGTGCATTGCTTGCGTATTCGAGAGAATGAGTCTGGGTTTAGGGTAAGGTGTTCCTGTTTCTTTTTTTCTTTTCTCTTTATTTAATTTTCATTATTATTATATATTCGATTCATGGTGTGCCTAATTTCTTAAACTTAGGTAAATAGAGTCATAATAGGATGAAAATTCTTTATGTTCTTGTTATGGCTAATGTTAGATATATAAAATGAGTTTCACTTCTCAGCTTAGCTTTAAGCTGTTGGGTTGAAATGGTTCAGTTAGAGATATATAAAATTATTTGAAATGGTTCATATATATAAAATTATTAATGTAACCTTACCTAACAACTTAAGCTTTTGGGTTGAATTGGTTCTTTACATGATATCAGAGGTGAGGTTTGGTGTCACGGGTTCGATCCTCACCCTTCTATTTAGTTAATAGTTTCTTAGCACAAACATGTGGGCTTGTGCATTGTTCATCCTTCAAGTCCAGTGGGCTCTTATGTGATGGTATGTGTTAGATATATATAAAATTATTAATGTAATCTCACATAACAGTTTAACTTTTTGGGTTGAATTGGTTTTTTCCATCTAATATAAATTTGTGTATGGAATAGTGAATGACTGAATGGTATAAAGCTTCCCTGTTGCTTGTTTTGCATTGTTATTCATCGTGGAATTTTCTTAAACCTTGAAATGTTTTTTTTATCAAATCAGTCATTTCTCCTTCCAGGGAATTGGTTGTTTATTCCGTGTTTCTTGTACTGCTTGGAATTGGTATGTGGCTGTAATTATTTATTTGCTTGGTTACTTAAGCTGAACATTGTACAAAGTCTCATCATAAGCTGGAATTTGTTCACAAATTTAATTACTTCTGTCCCCCTTAAAGGTATACAAGTGGATGATGCAACAGAGTTGGTATCGATTTGATTTTGCTCTTTCTACCAAACTAGCAGATTACATGGGTAAAGAGCGAAAGTTTTCAAAGTGCCGTGAGGTATTTGATGATATTATCGATCAAGGCCGTGTTCCTAGTGAGTCAACATTCCATATATTAATTGTTGCTTATCTCAGTGCCCCGGTTCAAGGTTGTTTGGATGAAGCGTGCAGCGTTTACAATCGTATGATTCAGTTGGGTGGTTACCAGCCCCGTCTTAGCTTGCATAATTCCCTCTTCAAAGCTCTCATAAGCAAACCAGGGATCTCGTCAATGCATTACCTTAAGCAAGCTGAGTTTGTATATCATCAATTGGTTACAACTGGACTTGATATACATAAAGATATTTATGGGGGTCTAATTTGGCTACATAGCTATCAGGATTCCATAGATAAAGAAAGAATAGCAGACTTGAGGGAAGAGATGCTACATGCAGGAATTGAAGAGGGCAGAGAGGTGCTAATATCCATCTTGAGGGCTTGCGCAAAGGAGGGGGAGGTGGAGGAGGCAGAGAAAACTTGGTTCAAACTTCTCCAGTTTGAAAGCAATCCCCCATCACCGGCATTTGTGTATAAAATGGAAGTCTACTCAAAGGTTGGCATGCCTATAAAGTCTTTGGAGATATTTAGGGAAATGCAGTTGAAACTAGGTAAAACAAGTGTTCCAGCATATAATAAAATAATAGAGATACTATGCAAAGCACAAGAAACAGAATTTGCAGAGTCAATCATGACAGATTTTGTTAAGAGTGGTCTGGAGCCCCTTACACCATCCTATTTTTATTTACTAAACATGTACTTCAATTTGGAATTACATGATAAATTGGAAGAGACATTCTCCCAGTGCCTGGAGAAATGTCGTCCTAATTGTACTATATATAGTATATATTTGGATTCTTTGGTGAAAGTTGGTAATATTGACAAGGCCGAGGATATCTTTAACCAAATGAATCGTGATGGGACTATTGGTGTTAATGCTCGATCGTGTAACATCATTCTAAGTGGATACCTCTCTTCGGGAAATCACTTAAAGGCAGAGAAGATCTATGACTTTATGTGCCTAAAAAGGTATGAAATTGAAACCCCATTAATGGAAAAGCTTGACTATATCCTGAGCTTGAGGAGGAAAGTTGTTAAAAAACCAATAAGCCTGAAGCTAAGCAAAGAGCAGAGGGAAATATTAATTGGGTTGCTTTTAGGTGGTTTGCAGATTGATTCCGATGACCACAGGAAGAATCACATTATACGTTTTGATTTTGATGGCAATTCCCACAGCCATCATGTCCTGAAGAGTCATTTACATCGCCAGTTTTATGAGTGGCTGCATCCTTCTTGTAAGCCGAGTGATGACAGTGAGAACATACCAGATAAGTTTTGCAGCATTGTGAGCTCTCATTTTGGCTTTTACGCAGATCAATTTTGGACAAAAGGTCAACCTACAATTCCAAAACTAATACATAGGTGGTTGTCACCGTGTGTTCTTGCATACTGGTACATGTATGGGGGGCATCGGAATTCATCAGGGGATATTTTACTGAAGATAAAGGGAAGTCGTGAGGGTGTTGAGATCATTGTCAAAAGGTTTAAAGCCATGTCCATGGATTGTAAAGTCAAGAGAAAAGGAAGGGTATTTTGGATTGGTATTCTCGGGAGCCATTCAACTTGGTTCTGGAAATTGGTTGAGCCATATGTTTTAGAAGATGTAAACTATTTTCCTGAAGCAGGGGATCAGACATTGGTGCAAGAATCTATGGCAACTCAAGACATTAACTTCAATAGTGATTCAGATGAATGAAAAAGGATGATGCTACATTGATGGTCATGGTTTATAGGAGTTTGCCTGGTCAGATTATGCTTTTACACCTGTGGCTTGAACATGTTTGATATCTGTCCAGTGATTCTTTTTACCGAAGCGGCTGCTATGGTTGCAAATTGAAGGCTTTCTTTAATATTTTGGTAACCATCCTCTGAAATATTCGTAGTTGTATATTTCTAATGTCCAATGCATAGAGAATTAGAGAGTAGTCACTACTGTATTATCGAGTTAATTTGCATAAAGAATTAAAAGTACTGTTATTCTACATATTGAGTTATGCTTTCTTTCAAATGGGTTGTGGCATTGCTTGGAATGTTCATGATTCTTCTTTTCAACAGCTTACTTCTTTAAATGAGAACTGCGTATTATCCTCTACCACAAATTATGATACTTACCGATATAAAGTAAAAGCCAACATCATTTACCGAAAATAACCAATCTTAATTATCACTTTCTTGTTTTGGGAAAAGTAAATTTACATTGGTGACAAAATCACATAGATAAAAGGTGTTGTGATTCAACAATATGTGAATGGCTATGCTGAAAATCTTTAGTATATGGATTATTACATTGTGTAATGTTCTAAGGAACAATTTTTCGATTTTTTTGGAGCTCATGATGCTACAGAGTTGTTGAAATCAAATCCGGTATGAATAATTAATCAGAATACATATGTAGAATCTTTGGAGTTCAGACAAATTATTTCAGTTGTGACTTGATGAGGTTTGTAATGAGTTTTATATCAACTTTTAGATCGGTTATTTAGGCCAATATTGAGATGAGGTCCAAGGAGATTTTAAATTTTGTTAATGGTAATACTTGATCTCCTTGTGAGTGCCGAAGTAAAAACTCAAGAAGAATCTCAGGTTGTCTTTTAAGGGGTATAGGAATTTTCTGTTGCTGGAATTTATTTTTATTTTTTTTTAATTTTTTGGTGATAGAACTATCAAAACTTAGGGCTGCACACAGACTAGAAGACTAGAAGATTGTGTTAAATCTTATCCCCTTAATCACAAGACTAGAAGATTTAGGCAAAGGGGCTTCTATGATTTCCATTTTTACTTCTTTTCAAGTTCCTTCCAATGGATTTCTTCTTTAGTTGCCATCTTAAGCATAAGTTGAACCCTTGTATGATCCTGTCCACCTAAGTTATTCCAGGTCTTAAGGAAATGCTGTTGACTTGGTTTTACAGTGTGTAAAAGGTTGAAATTATAATAAATAATAAACCCACTCCTACATCAATGAGATGCCCTGTACAAATACAACCGAGTCAGTTGTTTGTCTAATGATTCGTAATTATTTTCAACTATATGCAGCACGTTTCACACAATATCACTTCTCACGTCCCATCAACATGGAGTGTACATTACATCCCCCTGGCGAACCTTTCTTCTTTATTTTTCAGTTCTACTGTCAATCAGTTGTGGTATCAAGAAGATTTCCCCCCTTTAATTCACAAAATTTGACGCTACCATTTAAACGATTTTCGTTTAGTTACGAAATTAAGGGTATTTGGTACACGGCTTTTTTTAGAATTTTGGGAAACTAAAAATGATAATCTAAAAAGACAATATTTGGTAGAAGATTTTAAAAAAAATTCCTATAAAAATGATTTTTTCGAAATTCCGTTTTGTGTGTATTCTCTAAATTAAAATACTATCCAATTTCCATGGGCTGAAAAAATTATACAAGATTTTTTTGACAAATATATCCTTCCTTATGGTACCGTCTTCATCCGTGATGGGGGCCCGTTTCTAGTTGCCCTTGTTGCTGGGGAGGCTGCAATTAGCGAACACCAATATCGTTGGCCATTGGTAGGGGTGAAAGTGGGTTGCGCTGGGCCAAGCTTTACCCTGAAAAGCTCAAGCCTATGTCAAAAAATTTCAATTTAGCTTGGCCCAAGCCTAATACGAGTCTAACTGTTAGCCTGGCTTGACCCGTTTATAAAAAAATAAAATGGTCTGGCCTAGCCCATTAGCCTGTTAATTTTTAACTTTCAAGCAGAACCATGAATAACAACAAAATTCATCATAATCTGCATTTAAGTCACTTTCAAAAGCAAAATGCTCAAGCTAAATAACATATATTTCATCAGCTCCAACAAACAAATTCATATTATGTAAATTAAAATAACTACATGAATCCAACAAACACATCATGATATTTGTAGTAAGTATAACTCTCCCAAAAACCTTTTAATATATTCATATACACAATCTAACATGTTAAAATATTGGTTCGTCTTACATAAGAAATAAAGTCAGATTTCTATTAAAATATAATCGAATATAATTAAGTTATAAATAATTGCAATTGATTAAATTTATATCTTTTATTTTTTTCAAGGCATACTTATTCTATTTTATTTTATTTAAAACAAATAGTACAATATAGGCCGGCCTGTAAGCTTATAGGTCAGGCCTTGTGAAAGTCGGCCTACGGCCTATTTATTAAACAAGATTTTTCAAGGCCCAAACCCGGCCTATTCTACGAAATATACTAGGTCAGGTTTGACCTGACATAGGCTGAGTTGTAGGCCCCTGTAGGTCAGCCAGACCCAGTTTCACCCCTAGCCATTGAGAATCGTCGTGCTCCATACATCCATACACCAGTATCGCACCAATTTTTCATTCTCCAAATTTCTGGTGTTTTGCTTTGAATCGCTGTGCTCCATAAGATTGGTGCTTTATACACCAGTATCGCCTACCAAATTTTTCATTCTCGTCTTCGTCTTCTACAAGTTGAGACAGAGAAAATAAAAAAAGAGGCTGAATAAAAAAAAGCGTCAAGGTTAATTTTGTAAATTTATTCTAAGGGCTGCAAGATATGCTACAAGGTTGAATTAGTCCACTAAGGGATGACCTATTTCTTCTACATACATGATTTCAGCGACCCAATAATATTTTACTATCAATCAAATATATAATAGGAAAATTGATCCAATATTCCTGAAAAAAATTTGGCATATCAAACAGTTTTTATATAATATTCCTGGCAAATTTACTTTTCTACTATATTCCTGAAAATTGTAATTACCGGATAAAAAAAATTTCTTCTCTACCAAACACACCCTAAGAGTACAAGAAAATCTTAAGAGTAAATACCATTTTGGGTCCCTAACAAAAAACACGGTCCCCACTTTAGTCCCTTACAAAAAAAAATTAGTCAGTTAGTCCCTAACAAATTCTAAGTGGACCAATTTTAGTCTTTTTGAGAGATTAATATGGGTCTTTTTTGAAATTGTGAGGGACCACGATTTCAACTAAATAGGTCCACTTTGAATTTATTAGGGACCAACTGACTAATTTCTTTTTGTAAGAGACTAAAGTAGAGACTATATTTTTTGTTAGGGACCAAAAAAGATATTTACTCAGATCTTAATATAGATGCCTATCCTATTTAATGCTCCGGTCCGGTGATTCCGAACATGATTATTTATAATTCATATATCTACTTTTTTGTTTGGGAATAAAATGATAAACTTTTCTTTCCCGCTTGAATAATATAAGCCTCTTTTAGTACTAGTAATAAAGAGGAAGCTATACGATTTACATGTAACAAATAATATTTATGGCTTATAACAACTGAATTCTGACGCAGCCATTTGATAGCTAAGTAAATACAATTTTAGGTTTAACCTCAGTTTTGTACAATGAATTCCGCACATCCAATTTTCTAGTAGAGAATAGACATGATTAAAATATGCATAGTCATATACTCAAACTCGAATTTTCTTCAGAAACAAAAAAGAATAATGATGGTGTTACATTGAAAAGCAATACAAAAGTAAAAAATTATTAGCTACGAGTTGTAACTATCAAGCCCCAAATCCCTCAGCGCATCTGTAGCAGCATCCTTACAGTTTCCATGTGTTTGCTTTGCCTTCCTTATGTATTTCTCAATTCCATTATTAAGCAGGATAGTTCTGTTCAATACAAAGTGTGTAAGCAGGCAACCATTATAGGGCAATGGGATTGACAATCTTCTATCTCTAGCTATAAGCTACACTCGACTTATAAAATATGCTAGAAGGCAAAGATGCAAAAACTACAAAGGGTGGAGAAAAACAGAAAAGGATGCCTTGCATTGTAAGTATCATAAATTATAAACTTGCCTGTTCTCTGGATTTCTCACTACTAGATTTCTGATCATAAGACAGGAGTTTCTTTGCATTTGGTGTGCTGCAGGAAATTTCTCCATGGCTTGAATAGCAAGGTCACTAGCACCAGCTTCAATGGCACGGGCTGCATTTTCCGGGGATCTTAATGAAAGCACAGAAATAATAGACATAATCTGTGCCACAAATAAAACCAATAAAATGAAAACAGGTGTAAGATGCAGATAAAAACTAAAAGGAAAACAAGTATAAGGAACCTCTATACGTGAAGCAGGATGTTTTAGAATGATAGTTTGACTTATTTTACACAGGCTCCCTAAACAGAAATTGAAGGTTCTCACCTCTTGCAAAACGGAAGGGTCATCAGCATATCTGGCTGAAAGTTTGATTAGCTTATCCATACCACCTTTCCCAACAATTGCACTTTTGTTCGTGTCACTTCCTGCTAACTGATCAATTAAACATATAAAGGAATCATTCAACTTTAAAAACAATGCAAAACTACCATCCTATTACATTTTATGTAAAAAAGATGGCCATGCTATGCTAGACAATATCTTCAAAGGTGGGTTTAGAGGAGGATAGCTTCTGTTTGAACCTTAGAACTTAGAAGCAATCAAGTAATGAATATATTTAAGGTTATTTCATTTTTACCCACATTACTCAAGTATCATATGGTACACATCATATTATAAATATTATCAATTTATGCATTGTAAGACAAGCAAGAGAAAATGAAAGCCAAAGTAGTATAGGAGGCCAAATTGTTCAAGTCACAAGAAATGTAATTGTAGTTAAATTGGAATTATATGAAATACTTGACTGCTTACCCCAGCTTTTATGGAAGCTTGGCAAGTTTTCATCAGCTATATATTCTCCAAAAAATGGGTAAATGTCTTACATTTTTTACTTCCAATTATAGAAAGTAAAATAAAAGATGTAAGGGACTATCTAAGACACAGAAAACACACTCGGGTCCTACTGAGTGTACGTTAAAAATAAAAATAAAAATAAAGAGTAGGCCAACAACCATCAAAACAGCAGAAAAAGATAAAACTCAATCCCTACAAAAAAATGCTGGAAGTAGAAACCCTATTATTCTTCTTAGATAAATTATGTACAAAAAAGTCCGCATTGCCTGTCCAGAGAAACGTTTTCAACATATACCTTTGAAAGTAATGAGCAACAAACTTTGGCCACAGCTTTGTTGCCTTGATCACCGCTGTCATCCATACATCTGAGCACTGCATCAATACCACCTTTTTCAGCAATGGATTTACATATTTCATCCTGCAACATAAAATATATATACTCAACAGAAATAACACAAGACACTGCATACATGTGTTTCAATTTGATGACGTTAGTAAGCCTGACGCAACATACAAGACAATTGATGGTTGCCAAATCTCACCCACCGTAGATAACAGATTCTCATTCACAAATCTTGTAAATTGAAAGTCATTGTCCTAGACAAAGATACACAGACAAGTATCACCCACCACCATTACCCCAAAGTTTATTTTTCCATTATTGTGTCTACTCGCATGGTCAACCAATTTCTTCATGAAGAAGGAAATCTCATAAGGATGTATTCAGAAAGTTGCCACCAAGGTCATCTCAATCAAGAAAATGAATGGCAACCATTGCAGTATCTCAACCTTTGGCATCAGAGAGAGAGAGAGGAGACAGAGCATAAATGCTTTTGGGCTTTCAACGGTTGTTTTGAGAAAAGAATCAAGGATGGTAATAAAAACTTGTGCAGGACCAGTCAACAGTCACTATAAATATCACCTAAAACCATCTGAGGTTAAATTATTTTGATCCAATAGTTATTTTCCGATGAAGTTTTAATATTGCATACTTGATGTAGGAGTAGGATTAGATTTTATTTCACTTACATTTACAGCAATGGCCTTTAAAGTGATGCATGCTGAAACTAGGTTAGGTGAGCTAAGTCCTGCACGCAGAGAATCAACAAGGGCCTCAGCAATTCCAATCTTTGCAAATTTTCGTGCATAACCATACACCTGAAAAAGGAATATATTGGATACTTTAAATCAAGATGTACACATAACTGAAATGATGGCTATTTTACAAATTTGAAAGATCTGAATTTAGGAGAAATCATGTTCACAATTCACCAAATTAAGTTTCTGACTTCACATCTTTTTCCTTCGCCATGTGTGTGTGACACTTTATTTCTTCAATTTATATGAACACATGCATATTCAAGCAACCTTAACTTACTTGAGAAGCTACGACTCGATTGTCGTCAGGGGTTAAAATCACACGAATAGCATCATATAAACTTTGAATGCCCATGTCCTTATGTATGGACATTATCTCCATAGTTAACTCATCCACTTTTAACTCCATGAATGCCTCCTTGAGAATCTCATCACCAGTTGCAGCCGAAGCCACAACACGAAAGCCACTACTTAAGATGTCAATGTTTTGCTTGTTATCATTTAGCAAACCAATTATAGTCCTTGGTCCATTACTGGTCTGAAATGTTCCTGTACTTTGTACATCTGCATCAATAGGGATACATACATTCAACATCAACATCAAGAACATTTTTATCTCAAACTAATTGGGATCGGTGGTAGATGAACATAAATAAAAGATACGAAAGGGTTGAAAAAATAAATAAAATGGTCCAGATGGGTTGCGGAAGGGAAGGGGGGAAAATAAAAGAAAAGAGAGCAAATAAATAGAAAGCAGGAAAGTAGACGCGGACTAAATAAATTAACAGTAAATTAAAATGCAGAAATTAAAGGCATAAATAAATTTAAGGTGAACGCTGGGGTAATTCCACTAGCATGAAGGGATGAGAAGAGAAGAATTAATTTTACATACCAGATATGGAAACAGGTTTTATTCAAAACATAAAGATTAAAGAGAAAACAGAGAAGAAGAGAAAACTCAGAAGTATCTCGCAATCTCTCTCTCTAGACTATCTCTCTAAAACTTGGAAGAAGAAGATGGTTGAGAGGATTTGAAAGAGAATTTAGAAGAGAAAGATTTAAACATAGCAATAAAAGATGTATTCCCCAAAATATCATTATCATCATTTGGTTCCATATCAAGATAGAGATAAATCTAAATTATTTCTTATCAACTGAGCATTAGATTAAGATTTTAACGTAAATAAACAACAGATTGTCAGAGATCTTCTTGATTCCTTGTTCAACATCGGCAAATTTGACTTACTGTCCTTCATATTGGACTTACTGCAACAGTTGAACAAGTTCTCAAGACTTTCATTTCTCATCCTACAATCATACATGCTTCTAACACATGCTAAAATGTGAACATGAAGCTCAGATAAATAACAAATAATTTAGATCTAGCCATATATATGTGTGTGTGTGTGTGTGTGAAGGGGAAAAGAGGAAGATGGGGGAGATGAAGAAGGAAAGGACTAAAAAGGAACCATGGAACATAGAAATAACAATGGATCTAACCCCCCACCATGCTTATAGCTTTTCTCTATTCCATTCTAAGGTACACCATCCGCCAATCTATATCTCATTCCATTAAGTCTTGTTTTATTATCTTCCCCCAAAGTAAGTTTCGGTCTACCTCTACCTTTCTTTGTATCGAGCTCTTGGTAACAAACTTTTGTTGTTACGGGAGCATTCAGGGCCTTCTAATTACGTGCCCAAACCACCTCAATCTATGTTCTCTCATCTTTTCGACCCGTTAGTACTTTTATCTTTCGTCGAATATCTTCATTTCTTATCTTATCATCCTCGTATAACCACACATAATGATTCATACATTATGGACAAAAAAAAGTATGATTCATACAGACTCCTAACTGTTTCTGACATTTGTAACTAACTCTAACAGTGTAACAGAGTTGGTAACTGCTTCTAACAGAATTAGAATTAGTTACAGCCTCTAACAGACTATAATGGATTAACAAGCTTTCAAACTCATGAAAAGGAAAGCCGTTATAAAATACAAAGATCTGACCATGAAGCAACGACGCCGTAGCATTTAAACAGGAAACAAGGGGAAGGTGAGATTCAGTGCTGCGGGTTATTTTGGAACAAAGAGAACAAGCCAATTGGACACCGCCATTCTTAGTGGCAATAGCTGCATTCTCATTCGCGTTTCCAGCACACAAGTCGGTGAGACTATCAAACACTTCCACCACCGTAGTCTCATCCAGAACCTCCGTTTCAGAGTTCAGCTTTTTCAACCTGTTCAAGCACTCTAAGACCGGGTTGCTCTCTCCTGGAACGCATCTCACAATACCTGCAAAACGACGACGTTCGGAATCAGACGCGCCATCGAATTTGATTTAGTAACCCGTGAACGTTCGTGAGAGAGAGAGAGACCTGAGAGATCGACGCCTTGGAGAGTGAGGGTTTGGATGGCGTCTTCGATGGCCTCTGCGGATTCCATTCCGAGATCGTCCATGTTCTCCTTCACCAATTCATCGAATGCTTCTTGCGAGATCGCACGCACCATTGTCTTCGCTGTGCTCTCACTCTCACTCTCTCAGGTATGCTGCTCAGTGCTCTCTGCCTCTTTCTTTCGCTTGCGCTTCAAATTTTCAAGTTTAGAAGTTAGAACTACTAATTTACAACGCTGCGATGCGAGGATCATGGGTCATCGAAACGACAAATAAACTTTTGTCGTTCACTAGGTGTGGTCGTTTTGCTATGTCATTGGTGACATGGAATGTCTCGTGGATGATAGTTAAAATCTCGATTTATCATTAAATTTTTATAATTTTTTAAATCAAAACATTTTTATTAATATTTCAAGTGTTTTTATTTTTTTACATTTTATGATTTTTTATTCTCTTTTTATTTTTTTATGTAAAATCTCGTGTTCAACTATTGTTCACTAAAAAATACTTGCATAATTTGAATCGGAAAATAGTTACATTAAAATTTTATACACTCATTTTCAATTTAGTCCTTGCATAAAAAAAATATTCGATTAAATCCTAATTCATATATTGAAAAAAATTATCAAATGAGTTCCCTCTATCTATTACATGTGATAAGATCATCATCCACTTATATTGCATGGCTATCAGATTTTGACATGTTGTTGTATATGTTTAACTAAAGAGGGCGTTTGGTACAGGAGAAATTTTTATTTGTCCGGGAATCTCGATTTTTAAAAATATGATTTCTGCATTCAGTTTATGATAATATCTGAAAATTTAAAATTTCAAAAAATTCAGTTTCCCGGGAATCCCTCAAAATCTCGCGTACCAAACGCCTGTGTTAAATTAAACTTTTGGCCCTTATATGTAACATTCATATTAAAATTTGGTTCCTAGATAGAAAAAATAAAATAAAATGAAGTTTTCAAATCTGTCCCCCTATATGGTTGGTGGTGAATGTTGTGGGAGGTAGTGTTCTCTATCATTACTTAGAAAACTCAACTTTAGTGTTAGGATTATCCTTTTGCTTGGCTTCTTCTTTGCTAAGGCTTAGACTACTTTCTTGTCCAAGTTGGAATTTTCACCGTACAAAAAATTATTGTCGTTATGACCTTACTTGCAATTATGATACTCTTTCACCCAAATGCGTTTAATTGTTTGTTTATGTGAACATTCCATGCATTTTTGGTTTCAAAATTAGATATTTTCATATTCATGTTCTCAAATGGTTTGCAACAATCACTACAAGAAAATCATCGTTTTGCGGCGGTTAAAACTAGCGTTAATTACTCCATCAACAGCTCATGAACCACCGCGGTTAACATTGTTGCAAGGTAAAATAAGGCGGTTCTCATGAACCGCTAGAATAACTATCTCCAAACGACGTTCTGAGGAAGTATTATAACTGCCTCCAAAATACATTCTGAGGCGGTTAGGGTGTGCATGACAACCTTCCCAGAATCAATTCTTTTTTAATTTCTGTTCCCGGGAATAGAAATGGATAGAAAACTCGTTTGGTAAAATCGGTTTACTTTTTTGTTACCGGGATGAACCAGTTTAATTTTTGTGCTGGGGAACAGAAAAAAGAATCAAAAAATTTTTGCTTCTTTGTTCTCGGGCGCAAAATGAGAAACAATTACCTTTCTTAATCACTCTTCATCTCTATCATCATCACCACCACCACCACCATCCCGAAACGACCACCGCCATCATCGTCATCGTCGTTGTCGTACCACTAGTGTCGTCGTTTCCACCCCCACCACCACGATGCCACCGCCACCATCACCACCACCTCCACCTATCACTACCACCATGCCACCGTCACCATCACCACAACTACCACCACCGCCACCACCACCACCACCACTACCGCTATCAACACCACCACTATCATCGCAACCGCTGCTGTCACCGCCAGCGCCAGTATCGCCATCACCATGCCACTGGCACCACCACCACCACGACGCCACCACTACCATCACCACCACTGTCACCAACTAACATCACCATTATCGCGACCACTACCGCCACCGCCGCCACCACCAACCACCACCACCACCATCGTCACAACCATTACCGTCACTACCACCACCATCGCCACCATTACACCACTCTTGCCAATACCATCACCATGTTATCGCCACCACTGTCACCTTCCACCACTGCCACCGCTGCAGCCACTGCCACCACCACCACCACCACCATGATGTCATCACAACCACCGCTACCATTGTTGCAGCCACTGCCGTCACCTCCACCACCATCATCCCAACCACTACCACGTCACCGCCACCATTACCACCGCCATCGCCGCAGCCACTGCCGTCACAACCACCACCACTATCATCACCACGTCACTCCCATCACCATTATTGTATTGCCGCCGCCACCACCACCACAACCACACCATATGGAAAGGAAAGTGATGATCCGAATTTTTTTTATATTTAATAGGAATTATTTTTTATTATTTTATTTGTTATGTTATCAAACACAATTCTCATTCTCGGAATAAAAATAGAACATGTTATCAAACACATTGTTTTTCTCAGAAACTGTTCCAAGGCACAGAAATATAAAAGAATTATTTCTTTTCAGAAACAGTGCTAGGGAATAAAATGGTTGTCATGCACACCCTTAATATAACAGCTTCCAAATGACATTCTAAGGTGATTTTGTAGGCAATTTGTGACACTGAATATTGGGTTCAAGTTTTCAAAAGACAGTTAGCTAAATCAGTGTTTTAAAACTCCGCTCCACCTCCCGGGTTGACCCGGGTCAACCCTGACCCCTCCCCTCTGAGGGTTGGGGTCACAAGTTGGACCATATATGCATATCGATCCTTCTGACCCGCAAAATCGGGCCGGATTTCAGTGACTCCCGGGTCAGAAGGGTCAAAGGGGTCATTGCATGTTTTTTTAAAAAAAATTCTATGAAACAACATTGTTTTATTAAAAAAATAAATAAAAATGCTTGCAAACCTAAATCTAATTGTTCTATTCTATCCTAGTGACCTAAATATTTTCAATCTTCACCTCACTGCCGTGAATCTTCTAGAAAAGGTAAGAATTTTACCCCTTCAAATGAAATCCTTATAGTTGTTGATGGAAAACAAAAACTCATTCTTACTTCCTTTAAATTTTCATGTCAGAGAGCTTCTCAAAAGAGGCAGAACCGGGTCAGTGTAGTGACCTCATTAGCATATGAATTTTGTACCTTGATATCTTGATACTTTAATTAGGTTGTATAATATTGACTTGCGGTTGTAATTGGTGAATTATGTTAAGTATATTTTGAATCTTTGATGATTGGTGATTTGTTTTTTAATATTTTCATATATGATATATCTATTTATATTTTTTTAATATATAAAACCGGGTTAGCGTAGTGACCCCCTGACCCTCCGGTTGGACCCGTGACTCCGTGACCCCTGACCTCAGCCGGGTCGATGGTCGGGCCGAGTTTTTAAACACTGAGTTAAACCTTCTTCATAATGATTCTGTATATTACCAAGTTGTGGAAAGTCACATCAATTCTCTTTAAAAAAACAAAAAAATTATTATGACAGAAACTTTATAGTATTAAATTCAAGTGTCTTTGATGAACTATTAAATAAGTCTCTTGGTGTATACTTATATTCAAGTGTAGAGGTGTGTTAGTGTCTAAGTGTGAGGTCTTAAATAGAGAGGAAAGGAGAAGGAGGAGCAAGGGTCATCCAATGTGGCACTTCAAAGTAAAGGTGAGATGGTTTTTTTAATGTGAAATAGCCATCTTCGGAAATGTATATCTAACACCAGAGGATTCAACTCAAAAATTTGAATAATCAAATTAAAGTATCATAAGATAAGAACACACTGTTTAAATTTGAGGACGATCCAACAGCTAAATAAAGAGATCTCCCTCTTTCAATCTCACTGTCTGACAGGTCATGAACTGCCTCTAAATGTGCTTTAGAGGCAATTAAAATAATCGCCCCTAATGAATATTTAAAGGCGGTTATTAAATAATCACCTCTAATTGGTGCATTTAGAGGCGGTTATACCCTAACCGCCTTTAAAATGTTGTAGAGACGGTTAAAATAATCGCCCCTAAGTGTAAGTTGAAAATATAATAACCCTGATTTGTAAAACGTCTAATTGCAGGGATTAATTATTTAATCATGGATAATTAAATGAATTAAGTGAGAGGCTTAATAAAAGAATTAGATTAAATATTAATCAAACACATTTTAGATAAAATAAGTCGAAGGCTTAGTTTAATCAATGTGGAATGCGTTTAGGTAGAAATACACCTTTTAAGTGAGCAACTGGGCTTAAGTGAGATAAAATGGTAATTAGCCAAATTATACCCGAAATGGGTAAATAATATTGTGGGACATTATTTAATGTCATTGGCAAGGTCTAAAATCACATTAGATGAATTAAATGTGGTTTTATGAATTAATTAGATGAATGGATATAGGGGTCTTTAATGAAGATGTTGCTTTAATAAAGTGATTAAAAGTTAAACACTTAGATGTTTTCCACCACACTTCATCTTAATCGTGCTTCTTTTTTCCTTGACCGAAACCATTGTTGTAAAGCTTGAAAATACAACATCTTTGATACTCAATAGAACCACTTGGTATAAGAAGCAAAAGTTCTTAGATTTCTATCCTTAGTAAAATCTATAATCTAGATATCCTTAAAAAACTTGGTGTGGGGAGATATTTCACCAAGAAAGTGGTGACACACCCTTGGAAGAGGGGCCAAGAGTGTTGCATTTCTTCCTTTGAACGTTGGAGAACATTAGGTAAGACGATGTTAAGAAGTTAGGCTTTCATCAAGTTTTATGAAGATCCAAAGTTAGGCTTTCATATTGAATATGTAGCTTGAATGTGAGTGGTTGGAGCATGATTTAGGCTTAACTCATGTTGAGAAAAGTGTTGGATGATGATTTTAATTGTGAAAATGTGTTGAGAAAATTATTTGGGTAATCCTTCACATTTTCAAAAATTTCATGCTTAAATGTGAGATTTCTTGAGTTGCAAGTACTCTAGGTTGGTTGGTTTGTAATTAATGTGTTCATATTGTTTCTTGGATGAGGACTTGTGAACCATTGTTAAATGAGCAAGCCTTTGA